CTCCAGTAGTTTCTGAGATAAGTATATGGGTCACCTTACGTGGACCACCCTGTACCTACTATAAAATGTATTTAATATATTCACAAAAATGATGAATGTATAATACATGATCACAGTGTCCCTTAGCAAAAATAAGTATTTTATAAATCAACGAAAATTCTTTATATTCCTTTTATCGACTTTATGCTAGAACCAAAACATTTTTTTACCGTTTTACCAAAATTTAAGTTTTTGTTATGGATTGGATTATAGACAGAACAGGCAAGGGGATTTTTATCGATATAGATTAAACAACGTTAACGACTGGGATTTTTTGTTAAAAGCAGTTGTAGAGTATTCTTCTGCACATTAAATTTTGTAATTTTAATTTGTGTTGAATTTTGTATTTAATTAAACCGTTTTAAAACCTTATTTTTATTTTGTATTTATTAAAGTTATGTTAATATCATCAGCATTAATAAAAAACAAATGATGACAAAAAAATATTCACGCATTATCCAAATAATATGAATATTTAAATCAAATTATGGCACCCATAAAAATATTTCTTTGACATTTTTAAAATATCTATTTTTTTCTAAGGGAGACTGTGTAATATATTTATTTAACAAACTTTTAGACTTTATATTTAAATACTTTCATTAATTTTAATTTGGCCGATAGCTTTTGAAATATCAAATTTAAAAAAAATAAGGGTTTTTTAATCGTTCAAAAATTTATTAATTTGGAATTTTTTTTTCAATGTAGTTTACTAAAAAAATGATTTGCTTTTGTTGTCATGATGTTTTTTTAATTTTCTATTAAAATCGCGTTTTTAAGGATGTTAGGGACCTTAGATTTTTTAAAAAATAAACCTGACCTAATTTAAAAGTTTTTAAGCTTATCTATTTTTTCTTATTTTTTTTGATTTTTAAAATTGTTGAAAATTTTCATTTCTTAAATTTTATAAGTGTTTGACGAAAATTAACTTTGAATATTATTAATAAAGAATTTTTTTTTTTAAATAAATAAATTGCATTAAAAACATGGTCTTAATAAGTGTTTCCAATGTTTTTCATACTTTCGTAAACTAAGTGTATCGAGGAAAAAATTTCCGAAAACAAATAGGTATGAAACGCTTTTTATTGCAACTAATATAAATTCTTTTGATCGGTTATAATATTTATTGGTAAATACAATAATACCATATGTTGCCTATTACAATAATTAAAGGGAATTATTCAGGGCGGGATTTGAATATGTAGAGGCCTCGAGGAAGTGAGTATGTGGAGGCCATCATTTTCAATTACTTAAAAAGCAAAGTTAAATACAAGTTGTGGGTCATATTATTATACGATAGATATTGCAGGCTATTATTCACGAGGATGAGGTTTGCTTCTCAAAGCGTCAGATGGGAGACGTAATTCACCCGAGTGAATAATGCACATAATCTCGTTCTTTTAACTTCTATAAAGTTATTTTTATTAATAACAAAATTTAGTTTAAACCTATTTTCTTCCGCTTTTAATGTTTATTAAGCTCTTCGGCATTATCAAAGGCACCCAGTATTGCCAATAGAAATGAACTAGTTCTACCAAAAGCCTGAATAAAATCCGCCAAAATCCACCAGAAATCAGAAACGACCTGTGTTATAAAGGGGTGATACAGCACAACGTATTTCCAAATTTTTAAAAAATGTCAAAATTTTACAAAATATTTAAAATTCATTATTTTATGTTCTTCGATGTGAGATGCTTTCAAGGTCCTTAAGATTTCATTTAATAAAAATCGCATAAGAAATGTGAATGAAGCCATAGCTATATTTGATCTGCGATTCTTTTAAGGTGAAAATTTTGACCTGTTGTGTTTCGATCTGTGTTAAATGCTGCTTCCGTTTATATAAAAAACATACATTTCTAATAAAACACAATTTCCACCCAATCTACGAAATCTACTAAACTGGTTGGAAAATAGTTTAAAGACCCTGGTAAATACAGTTATCTTTAATATACACGTTTCTTTAATTTAATTTATAAGTTGGAGTTATAAAAATCTGCACTTTTTACAGTTGAAGTTTGTTTATAATTTAAATAGTTCAAACAACTATTCAAAGAAACTCTATAAAAAATCCTTTTCATTTTTGGAATATACGAGATCATCGTTATGCACTCAACTGGCCTTGATGTTAGTTTTAGCTGAGTTGGTGTGCCCGGCTTGTTCTTGCGAGAAGTTTTAAGTTATTTAAGTCTTTTCGTCAATAAATAATTCGTCAATGCAACACTTGAGAAAAAATTATTTGTGGAAATTCCTCGCCAACTGACATGGTACGGGGTCTTATGAGATTTTCCAGTGTACACCTGAAGGTTGCATAAATATAACGATTTGACATCGGCGACAGCACAAATTTTTAACTTGTTAAGTTTTTGATTTTATTGTATATTGCCTAAATGGGTATTTTTTCCTGAAACTGCTCGTCAATATTTTCGTACGGTTCAAACCCCTTTTTGCAATTATTAACAAACATGTTCCACATATATCTTATTGTTGCTAACTTGTCTTATTCCTTTCGCCTAGGTCTGGTTGATTTGACATCGAAAAATAATTATATTTGCTCAAATCCATCCCACGGTAAAGCAGCTGTGAAAAATTATCTACGTATAGAGGTATTAGTAGATCACATTTAAAATGTCAGGCATTTATACAACCAACTGCACCTGCTTTTAAAAGTACTTCTAAATAACTATCAAGTTCATCTTTTTCAAAAACTATCCAATGCCTCTTATTGTTTGTATTTATGGTACTCCACTTATCAAAATACCTAATAGCTTCTTCATTGGTATGAGGACACGTGATTTCTATAATTTTCGTTGTCAAAAATGGATAAAAATTATCTGTGAACCTATTACAATCTTAACTGTAATTTTTAGGGCCTGAAAGTGCATTTAGCGTCTTCTAGTGGTTACAAAAGGACTGTTCCACTGCAAGTCTGATTTGAAATTATATTTTAGAAAACTTTCTTAAGGTAGTTCTGTAGGTTCTCCTTTCTCAGCATCTTCTTGAGGTCCTGTCGGTTCTTCATCTGATTCGTACTCGTATTTTCGTATTCGTATGTATTTTCAGGTTATTCTTTATTTTTTATAATTTTTTTCTCACCAAATCTACAGCCTCTTCAATTAAGATGAAGGGTCGGACAATGAAGAGTCTTCATTTTCCGACCCTTCGTCGCTTTCACACTTCGCTTCAGAGTCCCAATCAAGATTGTTAATTAGTTTTTCATATTCTTTTTGTGACAGCCGCAGCATACTGAAATATTGCACAACAAGTATCTACCGACACATACCTAAAAGCACTGTTGCCAATGTGTACAGATAAAAAAGTAATTAAATAAAAATACCACTGGGGCCCCAACAGGACCTTAAACAGGCATCTAATGGTTAACCCTATTAGGTATTGAGTTTAAAAATAAAAAAATATAAAGTTGGCCCACGATGGGACCAAGCTTTAAAACTTTTAAATTAGGTCAAGTTTTTTAAATTAAAAAAATATCATTGAAAACGCGATTTTATTAGAAAATGTAACAAAATATTATGACAACACAAGCAAGGAATTTTTTTAATTTTTTTTTAAAAACAACATTGAAATACGAATAATTTATTTTATTTATTTCTGATACTACTTACAAACACAATACAAATTGTAATTAAAAGTAAGAGATAAATAATAATGGTTATGGACAATTGAAAAAAAAATCATACAAACTTTTGGCCAAAAAAAAATCTTAAAAAATCAGAGTGTATTTTTAAATATGTATAAATCATATACCAATAAAGGGTTTAACATGTTTTGGAACTATTTAAAATTTCTATACCTAATAATCTTCTTTTCGAAATTAATTAATTTTAAATCCATTATTATAATAACATTTTGATCCCAACAAAATAAAAAACTAAATAGGTATATTAGTTTTTGCAAAAAAGAATTAAAATAAAAAAAAAATAACAGGTATTTAAAAAAGTAACTTTTTTTAGTTGCAATTCCTTTTTATTTTGCATTTTCATGTATATTTGAAATCAAAACGAACAAGCAACTCTGATGTAAAATATATTATTAATGTTAATTTTAATAGTTTGTGCTTGTTCAATTAAATAAACAGTTAAAGACTTTTTTATACTCCCACCTTTAAAACGTCCTTTATCGTTCCATGACACAATAGTGACCTTTTAAATACACATTGAAAAGTTGTGGCTTTATGGCGTTTTAGTCACGGGCTGAAGTTAGCAACAGGTTTTTAGTCACGGGCTGAAGTTAGCTTTAAGTTAGTTGACAGTTGTCAAATGTCATACAATCGTAAAAATAATACCAAATTTGAAAATTATTTTATTATCGCAATACAAAAGCATTAAATAGTTTCTCAACGCCAAAATTTGAAAAGTTTATATGAACATTGTACTGACCTTTTAATTTCGCCGAAAGTAAACTGGATAGTGCTCATAAAACATTTTCTTTACTTTCACTGAGAAAAACTCTTGTTAATCGATTTTCAACGAAAATATTTCGATTTATAACCTTTATAACACAGAAAAATTTGACATTTGACGGTACCTAACACAGATTCCCCTATTGTTTTATAGATGGCGCTTTATACAAATATTTGATTTTAATCATTTTAAGATAATAATAAGTATTTGTCGTAGAAAAAGTATAGTGTGCAATGCACACTGTGCATCTCGTTAATAAACTTTTCTAGACACTCATTAATTTTAGCACTAAAATGGCGTTTATCAAACTTGATACATAATATACTATTTTTAAAACATTTTTACATAATTTTACAATATATTTAGAAAATAATTATAGTTCTTTATACATTTGTAGCCAGTTTTAAGACATATAAAGTTTATGACATTTTTAGACACTTTAGATCATTTTGGATATTTCTACCGTCTGAATTTAAATCGCATACTTAAAACCCCTAACATTTTATTTTATCATTAAAACCCCATTATTTCCTTCCATTTTAGAGGAGATTCTCGCATCAAACACAGCCCTCTGGATGTCGCGTGACGGTCTGCTGTTAATCTTCGCCTCTTTCAACGACAGTCTGGTGGAAGAGTTGCGCTTTCCCTGGTACGGATCTGCGAGCGACGGCCGCCTTTATCCGGACATACGGTCGCTACGGTATCCTAAACCGGGAACCAGAAATCCCCAGGTAACGCTCACCATCGCCGATCTAGCCGACACCTCAAATATTAAGACGAAAACGGTCATTCCGCCTCCCGTGATGCAAAATATGTAAGTGAAAATGGTTTTGTAATATTATTTTTTTGTTTAATTACATTACATGCTATTGAAAAAGTAATATTTATACACCCTACACAAACATTCATCCTTTTATTTATAAGTGTAACCAACAAGTATAACTTAAGTACATATCTCAAGTTACAGAAATAACCGAACCATTACACATTTTATACGTGTCGTCTTATTTCATGCTGAAGTTGAAGGAAACTCTATTTTTACTTGTTGTCGCTGAGCAAAGCTGCGTGCCCAGAATCTCCTTTAACTGCCGTTTCTAAAACGTAATGTCCATTTGTCAAATTTGTTCTTTCCTTGAATAAGAATAGAGTATCCGTTGCGATAATTCCAGAATCGATATTAGAACAATTTTTATTATAATATTAGCTCACGAAGAAAATAAAACAGTAGTCAGGGATGCTCAGAACAATAATCCACTCAATAAACTGTCGAAAAAAACATTTGATGTGTAAACTACTCATTGATTTGACAAAAAGAACCATTGATGTTGTCAAGTACACCCCTGATTTCAAATAGTGCATTGACATTGACGTTGGCAGCATTCTTTGGTGCGCCCCTTTTATATTTAAATATTATAAAGGGTGTTTTTTTAGAGACGGACCCCTTTAAATTGAAATAAAACACAACAAAATTTTTTAATTTTCATGAAATTGTCGTTATTTGAAAGATAATTTTTTGTTTGGATATTATTTGAATATTATTATTTTGAATATTATTTCGGGCGTGTGGCCGCCGCGGCTGGCGCGTACAGGCGAATGTCCAATTTTCACACACTCTTTGCAGTAAATCAGGCTGCAGCCTCTTAAAATGAAATAGTCAAAATTCTACTATTTGAATTAGTACCAGCATTTTTTACTAATAAAATAGCCGTTTTCACTTTTAAACAGTTATTTTTTACTACTTAAATAGTTAAAGTTTGACTAATTTAAGATAAGTCACCATCTTTGACTACTTCTGAGAGTTAAAAGTAACTAATTTCTTTAATTGTTTGCGGCCAACAACAAATTATTGTTGGAGTTAAATGCATATAGGCTCCATGGTTAAATGACCCTTAAAAACAAGCTCAAAACAGCAACACAAAAATTATATTTAAATTTAAAATATTATAAACAATATTTATAGACAGATAAAACTGTTTTTATAAAAGTGACTGATGGCTCATTGGTTATGACATCCGCTTGACAAGCGACAGACCCGAGTTCAAACCCCGGCTAATCTACTAATTTGACTATTTCATTTAGTAGTATTTGACTAATTATTAGTGACTGCTTTTTCGCTATGACAATTAGTCAAGTATGACTTATAATTAGTTATTTTTGACTAAATCATTTTAAGAGAGTGTATTTCGACAATAACGCGTCGAATGTTGGCTTCCAAGTGCTCAATTGACCATATGCAAGAAATGCGGTCGATGTTGCCAATGGTAAAAAAATAAAATTCCCTATTGGGAACATTTAATTATATTACCTTGGCTACATTGAAAATTTGAATTTCCCGCACAAACTAAATTAATTTCCATCTTTTTTTTTAATAATACTAAATAATAATAATTCCCACACTTGAAATTAGCACCTTAATTTATTATACAACATTGGAACTACCTTCTTTATCTCTGGGAACTACTAGAATATATGTCAGTTTGTGCGGGAAATTCAAAATTTCAGTGTAGCCAACGTAATATAATTGAATGGTTCCAATAGGAAATTTTATTTTTTTACCATTGGCAATATCGACCGCATTCCTTGCATTTGGTCAATTGTTTCTGGTTTATCGGCGTAGACATGCGACTTTACAAATCCCCAAAGAAAATAATCTAATGGCGTCAAATGGTTTAACAAGTCTAATTGTTGAGCACGATGACGAATTGACACATTTGCATCATCATCAACATTACGCTGCACACTGACAATCGCTATTGTACGACGTCTTACAGGATGCGTATTATCGTTTAGAGTCTTTAGTAAGCCTGAATTATAGATTGCCTTCCTTCCTTCCTCCCGTAAAAGATGAACAATACAAAAACCGTTGTGCTGTTTATAAATTCCCGTACAGGAATCTTTAAACGTCACTACGATTTTCGTATTGTTCATCTTTTACGGAAGGAAGGGAGGAAGGAAGGAAGGCAATGTGTTTCCACAATTTAACCGTATTTTTCAAAATAAATTTGAACAATTTGCAAACATTCTTCCCGCATGAGTCTATTCATGATGGATTGCCAAACCAACCTAACTTCAAAACAACCGAGAGCTGTCAAATCAGCTGTCACAGAAAACAGTGTTGACAATTGAAGAGCATCCGTGCAAAACCGGCTAAATCCATTTTATTCAGTTTTTGGTTTTTTTTTCTGATTTCGCATCTTTGGGTTCATTTCTATCGACAATCAAGATAATTCTGTTTAAATCCGACTATATCCATGTTAAAATCACATTTAAAATGTAGCTTTAGGAGCAAAACCGGCCAAATCCACGTTTTTATAGCAAACCCGGCTATATCCAATAAATAATAATGATGATGAGCATGTGTCTTGGATATGTCGATACTACTACTAAAATTTGTTCTGTTTTTTCATGTTTGCACTAAATTTATTTTGTTATTATTTTTGAATAATAAATGTTTTTTTCACATTTTATTCGGTTTTTGAGCAAAACCGGCTATATACAAAACATTTTTTGAAATTTTGGCCTTAATATAAAGTTTTTGAAAACGAAAGTATGTCTTATAAATCAAGTACCACAAAGCCCACAAAACCAAGTTTGCTTTTTCTTTTATCTGTAAAGGCCAGGAAACCGAGAGTTTTTGCCATTTTCCCAACATTTTATTTAAGTGGTTATAGCCGGTTTTGCACGGATGCTCCTCAATTTAAAGTTTACCACCTCTAAAAAAACACCCTTTATATTTAATATTTTAATTTTAAACCCTAAAATTTTATAAATATTTATTTTGCGACAAACCGGCATTATGTAATTGAAAATTTAAAAAAAACTGCTGAAATTAAGTATAAAAAATATTTATTAAATTATCAAAACAAACAAAATCATAAACAATATTTAGGGATAAAAAATACCATAAAGAAAACAAAAAAAACTTATAACAATATAATAACTTCAATTGGCTTTTAGTGACGTAAGCTCGTTACAATGTCATGCACTGTATAGACTACTGTTAAACTTTGCTACCGTCAACTGCAACTATCAAACAAAAACTAAATATATTATGATAATTTCGGGCGGCATAAGGCTTTAATGCGGTCGACGCAAAGAAAGGTGGTAACCTTTATCCTATGTATGTTTAAGTATTTGTTTATTCGCAAGAAAGTTTATCGTTGCAAAGTTTAGTTCGATTTTCTCTCGTATGTATTGCTCCATGAAAAAGTGTGAAAAATAGCTGACTTTGACCCAGGAGGGACAAAATTGGATTCCGGGAATAGAAATATTCCTGTATCTTTAGACAAAATCGCAAGCTTTGACCTTTTATCGAGGTATTTTGTGATTTGTACACGAGAATTAGTGGATTATTCAAGATTGGAAAATTCATATGTTTGTGGGTGGATCGCTTCGTGAAGCGCATGGACGTTAATACTTGTTTCTGGTCAAAATGGTACATTGAAACCGAGACCCTTAAGGCTTTTTGCCACCAAGAAAGAAGAAGAAGAAGTTACAAAGTAATGATTGACCCTTTGATTTTGCGCTCCCAAAATGTTGCGCCTGCGTGCGTGCACCCACTGCACGCTCGCCAGGAACGACGTTAACATTATATATTCATCAGAATAATGTATCTTAATGTAATAAAATAAAATGTTTAAGGATAACTAAGAGATGTGCGAATAGTGTTCGAATTAAGGAAAATAAACGATTTGATTTAATTTGAATATTCGAAATATAGCTCAAATGGTTTGAATAGGTTTAATTATTCGAAGAGTTTGAATTATTCGAATAGTTTGAATTGCTCAAATAGTTAAAATTATTCGATAAGTTCGAATATTAGAAATTTGATACATTTTCCAATAATAACACTGGTCGTCAAAATAAAAATTGTTGTTTCCAACAGAGTGTACAATAACTTTTCTAGTCTAATTTGGGTGCGCTGATTCAAAAAATTCAATTAGCTCTTGTTTTTTCGATATTGTGACCCGTTTTTTCGACATGGGTGTCCCATCGAAAACAGTCCAGCAAGGTTTACGGCTTTGTAGGTGAAAATAAACAAAAAATCTTTGGACCGGTATACTTTTATTTTCAGGGGGACATATTTACAAATTAATTTTATAATTATCACTTCAACCCCTCAGCGGGGGTGGCATTCACCCTTATTTTTTCAAATGGGAAGGGGTATGTTGTGATATAGGTACAGGGTGATCCATTATAAATGTCCACCCCCAAGTAGGTTTCATAGTTTTATTAATAATTATTGTTATTGTTTATATGGTAAATATTAAATATTAAACAGTTCAACAAATGTGTTTCTGTGAAAATCACTCAATAAAGACGTCAAAACAAATAATGAAACGACGAATGAAAAAAATGACGACCCATGGCCTAAGTGAAATTTCAGTTTTTGGCATTTTCTGCCATATATATTAAAAATATCCATAATGTCATATATATTTTTGAAATCAGCGTTTAAAGAGCTATCACATAAGGATATAAAATATAGGTCATTCCATAGGAAAAAAATTTGTTTTTATCTGTTATTTTTTTTGGATCCCCCTGTATACGTAAACATAACACGAAAAAAAACTTTTAGTTGAACCCTACAACTTTTATATAAAACTTTTTTTTCTAAAATCTAAAGATAAAAAGTTAGGGGGGGTGGACATATATAATGGATCACCCTGTACTTATACACATTCATAAATATTTTCCCTTTAAAAATCATGTTTTTAACAAAGTAAAATCGTTTTTTATTCAAAATTGGAAATTTTATAAAATCAAAGTGGTGTAAGACAAATAATTTTTTTCCGATGTGAATAAAATTTACTA